CTACTGGAACTGGGAAGATTCTATTGAAGGCTTGGAGAAAGCTTATAATCAATCCTAATACATACGCAACATTGATCGGATTAATCTGGGCTATTTTACATTTCAGGTGAAAAAAACAACAAAAAATTTATCTTATATATCTTTAAAAAATCAATCTTTGATAAATAAATCATCTTACACATCTAAAGATTCAATCTTTATCATCTAAACATTCTTTTGTTTTTTTCTTTTCAAAAAAGAAAAGCGATTATTTAGTTGTTTCTCCTATTTTTAGCTTTCTGTTTGATCATTTTACGCATCTACCAATTCAATTTTTTTTTTAAAGATTTGTTATAACTTTATGAGTTTATAATAACATCAAACATGTCACTCATTTTTTTATTTTTTAATAATAGGTTGGGGTGGAAATTGCCTGAGATGATAGATAACTCAATACATTTGCTATCTGATGGAGGCTTAGGAATGGCCATGTTCAGCTTAGGTAAACTATCTTTTTGTGTATGATGATGATCTTTTTAAGTTTTTAAGTTCACACACAAAAAGATCTTCTTCTAACTATTTATACACACATTTTTGTTTTTAACGCACTGAATTTTTATTATTATTCTATTATACACATTAAAAAAATATAAACTTCATATGATTAAAAGAATATGGTGAATATTACGTACAGGTCTTTTCATGGCATCACAAAGAAGTATAATAGCATGTGGAACAAAATTGGCGAGTATAACAATGGTCCTCAAGTTTGTATTAGGACCTGTTCTTATGATTGCTTCTGCATTTTGCATTAGATTACGTGGTAATCTCTTCAAAGTCGCAATTATACAGGTAACGAAATAAAATTACTAAATTCTATTATTATGATTTCTAGTATATTTTTTTTTTATAATAAATGTGATTTGTTGTGTTGTAGGCTGCATTGCCTCAAGGGGTTGTGCCATTTGTCTTTGCAAAAGAGTATAATGTTCATCCAGAGATCGTTAGTACTGGGTAAATAAAAATA